TATATGCTAGCCAGGATTGATAAGATATGGATAAGTCGTACAGGTCACTAGAGGTGACTCCGACTTATATGCTAGCCATGATTGATGAGATACGGATAAGTTGTACAAGTCATTTTAGATGACTCTGACTGATATATCACTTTGTATTGATTTAGTTCATTTGGCCTACTTATTAATGTATGGTGGAGTTAATGGCAAACCGTGGTTTTGGTCATTTCTGAGTATGGTTTGGATATATGTATATATGTTGTACTGTCTTATGGAAAACGATACGGGTTTTACATTAGGGCATTACTTTTTGAGAGGTAATAACTTTGGGAAGCTTGGTTTTATTGCTTACTCACACCTTCTGTTTGGTGCCCTCCAGGTTTTAGCTGCTGAGTTCGTATTGACAACAATCTGTGGTGAATCTTAGTATTAATGGATATTTTTGAGGGTATGATTCTTACCCATACTATTGTACCTTACTTATGCTCTGACATCGCGTGTGAAATGGGTTCGCTCCCGCTCGTAGCGCACTCCGGTACTTAGACACTTTTAGATTCAAATTTATTCACTTTTTGCACACTATCACATTTTATGGCTTCGTCACCTTCCAGGTGTCGGCCAGCACAGCTCGATTCAGGGTCCAAGTGGACTTTTTGGGTCGGGGTGTGTCAGTCATGGCATGTTCATACATATTATACTTGCTCATAATGCATGCTTGCACCGGTGTAGTACTCGCCCAGACCAGGGCCAAGCTTCATATGTATATTCATATCACACCGCATGCTCACCTTGGATCCATTATAGGTGCCAGTCCTGTTGTACAAGTTGCAATAGGTAACTTCGACTCGTATGTGATGCGCCTAGCACTAGTCTTCACGTAATTGTAGTATTAAGGCATATATTATGATTACACCCAATCATGTTCATGTCAGAATCCCTCTGCATGAACTCGTGTGCTAGCATAGATTGATGAGCGCCTGATTTTACCTATGCTACGATTGAGATATTATGATTGGCGTATTTATGGATTTATTGTTGATTTATAGTTGATTTCATACTTATACGTAATATGATTTTCTGGAAACTATACATGTTTTACGGCGAGGAGTTAGTATATTCAGAAAATAAATGTATTTTATAAACCTTTGTTTTTGCCCACTCACCCTTCTGTTTTTCTCCTCTCAAGGACTTAGATAGTTGAACTCGTTGTGGCATACGAGGAATCTCTAGCGTATTCTGACATTTCCATAGATAAAGGTAGGGGCTTTTTCCTGAGTTGTGTATTAAGTACTTTAATTAGTTTCGACTATACTACTTTTGTCGTACTATCATCTATGCTCTGAACGTTTGTGTTTTATGGTTTCTTCCTACTACTAAGCACTCGCTACTTTAGATTAAATAAATGTTAGCTTTATTTTTAAATTTATCCATATTTTTCTTATGCATCATTTTCCTTTTTGGTTACGTCACATTCGGGTGTCAACCAGCATGCCTCAACTTCGGTCGGGGCGTGCCAACTACAACAACTTAAATTTATAGGAAAAAAATGAGAACTTTTTAATATTTTTTAAAAAAAATTCAAATCCAACGGTAACTGACGTCAGCTAGCCGTTGCTAATGTTATTTAATCTTGTTTAATGTTGCTTACAAAAAAAAAAAAATGTAAAAAAAAAAAATTCAAATATAACGGTTGCATTCAAATTTATGGCCCCGCCAAGGGCTGGCTGGGTTGGGCTAGCCAATTGGCTCTTTGGCCCTTTTCTGTCCTGTGGGCCCACGAGCCCTTTGACCTAGCCCTCAGTTGGAGACGGCTTTCGGGCTATTTTCGGCCCTCTGGACCCTTGGGTTGGAGATGGTCTTAGGAGTCACTTATTCACTAATCATGTTAATTAGTTTAATCTATCTTTACTATTAGAAAGCCACAAATCTATTTTGGGGTCACAAGCCTTCACAAGAAAAATTGAAAATAAGTCCCTCAAACAAATAAAATCCAAAACTGGTTAAAAAAAAAAAAAAAAAATGAAGAAGAAGAAACCAGAGGTAGTTTTGTAGAAGAATCATAAATTTAAAATCCCTTTTATTGGAAATAAAAAGAAAAAGAAAAGAAAAGGGGGACGTGCTAAACCCCTCAAATGGAGTACGACGGAGTTGCCAAAGTTAAACAGTTTTCTCCAACTATCCCACGATCTAATTTTGGTGGGAGGTTGTACAGTAAAGCACTCTTCTAAAAAATCAGAAAAAATAATCGGATGAAAGAAATTGGGTATTTCTGTAAAACTAGAATTGCATGTTCATGATTTCCTCCACGTCTTTGCTTTTGCAAATAGAGCAGAATGTTTATATAGAGGAAATAAACTGTCAACTAAAAAATGGGTACAAAACTTCAACGTTGTGGTCGCATAAACTCGATTAGAAGCTTTCACGAGGAGCAAATGAATTTCCAACACAAAAACAAAACAGTTGTATTGGTTTTATTTTATTTTATTTTAATTTTACTTTCTGAATCCAAAAGTTAAAAAACCTTTTGATGTTTTTTTTTTGTTCTCCCATTGCCCTTATAGTGCGTAGTTATGCTTTTTTATCTTGTAGATTTATGACAAAGGATTGGGCATTTGATTGAAAGTGCACATTCATTTATTTGCTCGAAGTTTTAAGGTTTTATGGAGTCAAAATCGCAATGCGATTTCACAAGTAAAACTTGCTTAAAGTATTGTCGTTTCTTTGCTCTTAATAAATTACGACTGACATTTGATTGTATTCTTTATTAGCATGTGATTTGCAACTCTGCTAGTAGTTTTAGGGGTGCAATTGTATTACAAGGGAATGTGACAATCTATGTTGTTGCAATTGAATGAAATCCAATATGGGTAGGGCTGTCTTTGTTGCTTCTAATGGGTTCTCAACTTTGGTGGTGGAATTACTCTTTTGGAGGAGTTGGTTCTGTTGAAGAATTAGGGATGAGAATGCTGGGGTTTATTACTAATATGGTTGGTCGTATTAAGGATCTTATGCAGCTGGTAGGTTTCATTGATTTAGTATATTGCCCAAGGGAGTGTTACATAGTGGCGCATGCTAGCAAAGATTTCAAGAGAAGGGACACTACCAATGGTCGTTCAGTCCCTTGACATTAAGAAAGATCCATTTCACTTGAAAGAAGATGACAAATTTGTTTTTGGTCCAAAAGTACCATATCTGAGTGCAACACGTGATTTATTGTATATAACACAATGTACTAGATTAGATATAACTTTTTCAATAAACTTCTTAGCAAGATATAGTTTTGCTTGATGTTTTATAATATCCTTATAGGATAACAGGCATGGGCCTACTCTATTATGAGAAACCCATAAAATAACCAGAATCTTGTTGGATATGCATATGCTGATTTTCTCTCTAATCTGGAAAAAGCCCCCGCACAAACTCAATATGTGTTCACTTATGGAAATATAGCAATATCATGGCGCTTAACAAAGCAAATACTAGTTGCTACATCTTCCCATCACTTAGAAATATTTGTTCACCATGAAGCCAATCGTGAATGGTTTTTGTTAAGATCAATGATCCACCATATCCGAAATTCATGTGGCCTATCTTAAAGAAAAAAACCCTTTAACTATCGTTCATGCAGATAATGCAGTTTGTATTGCTTAAATGAAGGAAGGATTCATCAAAGGCGATAAAAGTAATCACATATCTCCAATGTTTTTCTATACATATGGGCTCAAAAGGTTAAGGTTATTGAATTCAAACAATTCGTTCAAACAATAATCTGGTCGACCTTTCACCGAATCTTTACCATAGTGTACATTCTAGAAGCTGGTGCATGTTGTCAGATTACCCCGACTTATTAATCAGTTAGATTGAAGTGCGGAATTAAGGGGAGCATTCAGAACACATGTATGTTGTACTCTTTTTCCTTTGACTATGACTTTTTCCATTTGGTTTTCCCTAGCAAGGTTTTACAAGGCATCAAAAGCACACTCAACACTATATCAATGATCCAAGCAAAGTTGTACTCTTTTTCCATTGACTAGGGTTTTTCCAAATAATTTTTTTCTAACAAGGTTTTAACGAGGCAACTATAACTGATACGTGAGTATCTATGGTGGAGTGTTGTAAATATAGATGCCCCACGCACGTTGGAGAAGCCCTTACTATTCACTTAAGACTTTTACATAGGATAAATAGTTCTCAAGCTTTCACCTTACTATTTGCTACAACATTCTTTGCGTTGTTATTGTCATAGTTGTAAGATTAAGGTTGTTTGTCTCTGCAACTTTTACCCATATAAGGAGTCATATTGTAACTTTGAAGATACATAGAAACAACTTCGTTTTTTTCTTACAACCAACAAAAGATGAGAGCAGAAAGCATAAATTATACAAATTTCTTTCACTTCTTTTCTTTAGCCTTCATTTCCTTTATCTAACACAAGTAAAGAGAACAAAACAGAGTGATATATAGATCCCATTCTATTTCAATCTCTAACAAAAATTATCTCTCTTTTGTCTATATATAACACATTTCACAAAATTCTATATTCATCGCCTAATTTTACATTTACAAATTTACAAAGTAAGAAATGAAAATTTATTGTTGCTATTTTTTTTTTTTTTTAGGCCGAGTGGGGACCAAACCAGTAATTTACAAATTGAAGTAGGAAAAAATGATATCTTTTTCCTCTAATAAATTAAAAATAAGAAAAACATAATAAAATCGTGGATCCTTCCCACAGTACCACCTAAGGTCACACTCTTGAAAACATTTTTGCTCCCAAATGCTTCAGTTTCCCACTACTCTCTCTCTCTCTCTCTTTGAAATGAAGAACCAGTCTCACTACTACTCTCACTCTTCTTCTTCTTCACCAACCACCACCACTCTCCCCTCTCTCTAGCCCTCCTCTCTCTCTGTGCTAACTCCTCCCTACCCATTTTCTTTTAGTCCACAAACCCACCCGCCACACGACGTTCTCGGGTCGAGAAAAAACCGGGTCAGGAGGAATCAGAACTTTCGCAACCGAAAAATGGAGAAGAAACAAGGCTTCTTCTCTGCTCTCAAGGACGAGGTGGTTCGGGGTCTCAGCCCCTCGCGGTCGCGGGCCAGCAGCCCGGCTCGGTCCGGGTCGCCCATGACGGGTCTGCTCCGGAGGAAGAAGCAGAACCATCACGGAAATGGGCACGGCGTCCAGCTGGTAGGGCAGCCGGACGCGTTGATTGGGAGATCGGGGAGCCTGAGGCCGGTGATGGAGGGTCCGGATCCGGACGGAGGGGAACTTGGGGATTCGAAGCGGGTCGGGTCGGGCTTGGGCCAGTGGATGCGAGGGCAGCTGTCGCGGACTCCCTCCATGAGCTCCGTCGCGCATAACAACAGCAAGAGGTCTGATCTGAGACTGCTGCTTGGAGTCATGGGTGCTCCTCTCGCCCCCCTCCACGTCAGTACCACCGACCCTTTCCCCCATCTCAGTATCAAGGACACTCCCATCGTCAGTCTCTCTCTCTCTCTAACATTCTCTCTCTAGCTCTGTTCGAAGTTCATCTGGGGCTTTTGCGCCATTTTCTTTGAACTTTTCTGTCTTAGTTTCTGAGATGGCTACTGCTAAATAACAACAAAATAATTGCTTTCATGCATTTTGTTTGTATGCTGCTGGGGACTGCGGTGGTGGTATTTCGAATTTGTATAAATTTTGACTGCGACAAAGATTTAAAGATTTGGGTTTTGGATTTATTTTACAGAAATGGTTGGATTCTTCTGGCTTTTTTCTCCCAAAAAAAAAAAGGTTTGGTTCTTTCTTTGCAATGGGTGTGATTTGCTTCTTACGGTATAGATTTCCACTGATTATTTATTTATTTCTTCATGTTTTGCTTAAATTTGAAGAACATCATTGGATGGTTACGATTTGCATCCAGAGTCCTTGTTTGTTTAATCTTTTGTTTTAAAATTTGGTTTTCTCCGATTTCTTCAAATGTGATTTAGACGTTGGTGATTCTTTTTTTATAACTTTTTTCAATCTTGGTCTCTCCCTGTTTGGCAAGCGAGAAAGTTAAGTGTGAAAATTAGACACAATGGAATCTTAAGCAGCCGATACATATTGCTGAAAGTTGAGCTCAGCAGGCCAATGGGATTCACTGGCTGGTTGAATTTGTTTTCTTATTTTCCAGATACAGAACAATTATTTATTTATTTATTTATTTATCCTTCTATCTTACCTGTGTTTTCACATTTTCTCACCAACCTAACATGACAGCTACTAATTTTATTGTAGAAGATTTTTCTTTAGCTTGCACTTTAGATTCGGATTTGTTGTGAAAAATTACGCTAAAATTGATTCGGCATTGTAGATGTTGGGTTGGTTTTGACGTGTGATATCTTTGCAGGAAACTTCCTCTGCCCAGTACATACTGCAACAGTACACAGCGGCATCTGGTGGGCAGAAGCTGCAGAACTCGATAAAAAATGCTTATGCCATGGGAAAGGTTAGGATGGTTGCTTCTGAGTTTGAAACGGCAACGAAGGTGATGAAGACCAGAAATGCCTCTAGATGTGCCGAGTCAGGTGGGTTTGTGCTCTGGCAGATGAGTCCGGACATGTGGTATGTAGAGCTTGCGGTGGGTGGCAGCAAGGTTCATGCCGGTTGCAATGGGAAGCTTGTCTGGAGGCATACACCGTGGCTTGGTGCTCATACTGCGAAAGGACCAGTGAGACCCTTGCGTCGGGCACTTCAGGTGAAGTTTTATGTGGTTATTGATGCTTCTTTTCGTTGGCCATGAAATTAGTCATCCAATTCATAAATGTCTTCGCATTTTCCTTTTCAGGGTCTAGATCCAAGATGTACGGCTAGTATGTTCACTGATGCAAGATGTATAGGAGAGAGGAAGATCAATGGTGAGGATTGCTTCATCCTCAAGCTTTGTGCTGATCCTCAGACTCTGAAGGCCAGGAGTGAAGGCCCTGCCGAGATCATAAGGCATGTGTTGTTTGGTTACTTCAGCCAGAAAACAGGGCTTCTTGTTCATATGGAGGATTCACATCTGACCCGCATCCAATCCAATGGTGGCGATGCTGTTTACTGGGAAACCACAATCAATTCATTCCTTGATGATTACAGGCCTGTTGAAGGAATCATGATTGCACACTCAGGGCGTTCCGTGGTAACCCTATTCAGGTTTGGTGAAATGGCAATGAGCCATACCAAAACAAGGATGGAAGAAGCTTGGACAATTGAGGAGGTTGCATTTAATGTTCCAGGTTTGTCAATGGATTGCTTCATCCCCCCAGCTGACTTAAGATCGGGGACAATCAGTGAAGCGAGCGAGCTTCCACATGATGAAAGGGGAAAGGGTGGTGGGATTGCAGTAGCAGCACATCGGGCCAAAGTTGCTGCACTGGAGAAAGAGCACAATGCTAATGTTGATAGCCTGACCTGGAAGATGGAAGTCTAACAAGGGGCTGCACTTAATTAGGGCAATTGTTTATACTGGTAGCGAGTTTAAATCAGCTAACACCTTAGAAGTTTACAAAGTAGGAGTTGCGTCGCGTTTTTTGACGTTGGTTTTATGCCTCTTAATCTGTAAATAGAGCATAATTATTCACAGGGTTCACTTCGGCCTGAATGAATCTTTATACTCTCAGTGCAGAATCCAACAAAGGTGTTGGAGCTCGATTTTTCCAGCTGGGGATAGAGCAAATGGAGGTTTAAGTTTTAGTTTACCTTCAGTGCAAGAGGGAAGGTGGCGAAGCTCATCTTTCTACAAATTTAGGAGCGGCGATTTTAAGGAGATCGCGGGTTTCTGGCATGGAGTTTGAAGCCTAATGCCAGTAGTTCGATAGTCTTACTGTTTTCAGGTGTGCTAATTGTTGTGGTTGTGTGATTGATGCAGAAGTTGTTTCTAGGGTCTGAAGGGAAAACAGATGGTTTTTTCAAAAGTAGTAGAGATAGAAGGTATGGGGAGAAAAGTTTGTGCTGAGTTTTTGTTTCTTTATTATTAACTGGTGTAACCAAGATATGGGTCTCTAGCTAGTTGTATTTTCTGCAACTTTCTCATTGTCCATCAAGTATTTAATTTTCATGAACATATAGGAATCACCATCCTTCCTTCTCTTTCTTGAGTTTCTGCATAAATTCTGCAATTTAAATGCTTTAAATTTTTTTTTATGTCCATCAAGAATTTGTTTTAATGGTGCAAGGCCATTTACTACAGTGAAAGAAAAGTGTTGAGTTCTTTTATGAAGGTGTGAGTTTGAATTCTGTCGGTGGTTAATTTAACAAATGTATTGTAAGACAACAAAAAAAAATTGTTTTAATGTTCACCTGCTTATTACATGATGGTTTGCTGTTTTTGTTTTAATGTTCACTTTCTTGAGTATTTAGATAAATATATATAACTGGTGATATCTGGTGGTATGATATTATCTCCATGGATGGCTTTATCTTTTGATTTCTAGGGTGCTTGACAGCATCTAGGGTTTTTGGTGGTCACCTGTGGCATATTATCTTTATGTAATGGTAATCGGAATCAAAATGCGAAATTGAATTGTTTTTCTTTTTGGTAAAAAAAATGCGGAATTGAATTTTGATTACAGGTTACTCCATTGTTTATCGAATATTAAGGAATAAAAAAGCTAGTGGGATTTATCCGAATTTTGAAATCCAACTCCAAAATTTGAAGAAATTAGATTCTCTACATTTAGGTTGTGTTTGAATTCCAAGTTGTTGGAAGAATCGGATTGAATTTTTTCCTCCTTATTATATCCTTACTTATTTCTAATATTCTAAGATTGCTTTTTGCATTAACCCAACACCGCCAACCGTTATCCAATTTAATATGAAATTCAACAATAATATTAACAATAATTAAAATTAAATTAAATTTCAGTGTGTTTAATATTTGGTGAATTGGGGCCATTAACATTTTTTAATTAATTAGTATATAAAATCTGCCAGAAAACTGGTATATAAAATAATTTATTTTAACTAAAACATTTTAATAATTATATTTGTTTTTATTCTGATTCAACTGAATTAGTAAATAATTTATATAAAATCTATACCAATTTTATTCTAATTCCAAAAACAATTTAATTATGACTCTTCTCTATTCCAACTCTTCATTCTCCTCAATCTAATCCTTTCTATTCAAAAATTACGAACTGATAAAAGTCCTGGGTGCTTGGCACTTTCTTCTTCCCACTGCCCCCAACTGATAAAGATTAAAGAAGGCTTCCACTGGTGTGGGGTCTCTGCAACTTTATCGAGGAATATCAATTTTTTAAACCCTACTTTGACCGTTGGTCGATCCACACCCAGCAAATTAAACCAAAACACTGAGAGAGAGAGAGAGAGAGGGAGAGGGAGAGAGAGAGTAAGAAGTTATGCCAGTTGGGTTTGCATCGTTTACTGCAATCCTTGCTAGAACATGATTACAGCAAGGCACTCTCACTGGGGTAAAATAATAAGTCCTCCTAATCCCATGTGGTTAAAGTCCCTCCAAACCTCCTCACTTTCCTTTTCTGTCTTAATTTCCCTTTGCAGGCATTGTCTGTTTTATTTTGTTCCAGAGATTGTCTTTCTGTTTAAGTTTTAAAAAGTAGTTTCTGCTTTTATATGTCAGAGATCTTAAGTTCAATTTTTGTTAAAAACGAATTCGAAACACATTAGTACTAGCTCATTGTAAGGTTAAGTCTACTTCCACTCACTTATTATAGATAATATCGTTTGTTAAAAAAAATTAATTCTCACACGTTTTTTTTATTTTAAAACACTTATTTATTTATTTATGTTTTTTTTTATTTTTTAAATTATTCAATTTAAAGGTCACAAGTAATAACTTTTTCTTTATGGTCCGCAAAATTAGCGTTTTAAATTTTGTACATAAAGATTTAATTGATATTTTATAACTGTTAGATTTTACATAAAATTTATACTCATGAGTAGCAGGATGACAGAATAGACATAAATATGAGGGGATAAAAAAAATGTGTGATCACTTTCTTTAATTGCTTACTTGATTGCCATAGTTTGCGCCACTTGAGGTTGAAGGTTCCACCCAATCATGATGTTTCTGAACGGTCAAAGTCTCCCAATTGATGACAGGAGATATGTGGGGCTTTTGTTTAGGAATTTTAACGAAAAGTTTCTGCTATTGTTCACTTTAACGAAAAATCATATTTTTACATTAAAAAGTTAATTATGGTAATATTTATTTTACCTTTTATTTTGTTATTATCGTTAAAATTCAAAATTTTTAAGCTTTTTTTTTTTTCTTTTTTTGTTTGGTTTGTTTGGCATAGTGGAGGAGGAGGACCTATTATCCTTTTCAAGGGAGGCAGATTGTTTGCCCTTCTGTTTGAATACCCTTTCCATCCCCTCTTATTTGTGCGGTCATGGTTAAGGCACATCAACATTTTATATTCCTATTGCTTTTTGTCTTATTATTCCTATTAAAAAATTAATATAAAATGTTGACGTAACTTAACCGTGACCGTACAAAATATGAGGGGATAAGAATGACACATAAACAGAATGGTAGACAATTTGCCTCCCTTTTCAAGATAGGCTCCATAAACACATAGCATGCGTCAACGTCAATATGCCTATATAGTTTAGAAACCAACGTTAATATGGTTCTTTACCCATTTGGTTTTTATCCTTGTTCTATGTCTAAAACAAGTATCTAACAAAGTAGCAACTTTTGAGTTTTGCACTTGTTCATATGATTGAGTTAGGAGAGAGATGGAGAGAGAAATGGCCTCGTCACCTGGTCAATTTAATAAATGATTGAATAGTAAAACTGGTTGAATGAATAAACTGCTATGGGTCAAATTGAAACCTCGTGAATCATTTTAAAAATGCTTCAACTTGAGAAACTTGAATGATTTTTCTTGTTGTATGTGTAGTTGAAAAGCATACGAGAAACTTGAATGCTTTCTTTTATTATAATTAAGAGAATCAAACTCTTAACCTAATATAATCCTGACTTATTTTCTCGTCCGTGCTCACAAGGTGGACTAATCTCAAAAGCAAAACTTACAACACAATTCAATCAAAAAGATACGTGCGATTTTGTAGCAGCTTTTGGAGTATAGGTGTGTATGACATGCAAACCCCAAGAAAAACCAACCTATGGGACAAGTACCTAGAGCCTTGAATTCACACTTTCGTTTTTTGGCATTTGGAACTCCCTCTATTTTATCAGCATATGATTCATCTCATCTGTTTGCCATTATCCCAACTTGGAATTGCGCAGTCAAGAGTAGACTCATATCCAAAACCACAACGGAAATTTCCTCATCTAAAAATATTGTTCTTTTTATTAGTTCAAAGTACGATATTCATTTATAAAGAAATTTGAAATTCGTACAATACATGGAGTATATGGTGCAAAATAATAGGCTTCGAAAAAAACTTTGTTGGGTATTCATTTCCAAGTTACTATAATTTAGGGGATAACTGTAGCAGGACCATCAATAATCTCCAATAGGTAGCAAACATTTAGCCATCCTATTAATTGTCCCTCTCCTAATTCTCTTATCTTTCGAGTGCAAATTTACTTAGAAAAACTCGATCTACTACACATGGGCCACAAATAAGCTATGTGCTTAATTAACTAATTGATTGGGACCATCCAACTAAGTTAGTTGTGGCTAAACCCTAACTAGTCACTCGTCCCTATCTCTCTGGATTAGCTTGAACGAGCTAATCTAGTAAATCTTCCCACAAAAAACCACAGATGTTACTATTTTTAATCAAATTCAATGTTATTGTAGGCATAATTTACTGAACAATTATGGAGGCCATAGAGAGAGGTGAGTCGCAGAGAGAGAAAGAGACAGATGTGTAATTGTGAGTTGTTTGCCTTTATTTATAGTAGTAGGGAAGGTTAAATCCTTACCCTAATAGGATTACAATTCTAATAGGATAATATATAACCCTAGAGAATATTCCAAGATATCTCTAGATACACTAGGATTTACACAATTACATTCCTAATCTAATAGGATTGCAACACTCAACCCTTGAGTGTGTAAATACTCAACTAAATGGCGCATCAGGTCTTCAATGATGAAGTAAGTACAGTTGATGAAGTCGTCGGCACAATTAGCGAATGCGAGTCTCAAATCAACGGAAGAATGCATAAAGGTAAAACTCACAAAACCTCACTATGGTAAAACCTAAGGGGGGAGAAAAACTCATAGACTAGGAGAAAAGTGAGAAGTTGCTTAAGTTAAAATTATACGTCTTTTGGACGCAAGTAGAAGAACTTACAAGGGTATGACCGACCCATGATGGGTGCCTAGTCAAAACCTAGTTAGGTAGCAAAAACTCAGTGGGAAAAATGCTCCTAATCTTAAGGAAAAAAAGTACATTAAGATCAAGTGAGTATACTTTTGGATACTCCCCCTGAGTTTGACAAAACTTCCAAATGAGAACTATAAGCATTGCATATGAATAGTTAGGCATACCAATTCCTCGGACAAGCTTCTGGAAGGTTGACTTCGGAAGTGACATCATGTAAAGGTCGACAAGGTTGTCTGGGATCGGCTTGCATGACTTCAATCTCCTGATGCTTTGCTGATGTAGATGTAGACACAATATGTCTTA